ATTTCTAAAAATATACGATTATTGAACAATTTGAGCAGATAGAAAGTTTTGAAGCCGGCAGGGAACATGGGGAGGGAATGGGAACTTGTATGTTCCTGCAGCTAATCAAAGCCCATAAACTATGAGGCTGCTACATAAGCCAAAGTAAAGCTCATCAGACGGGGGGCTTTTGCAATTAAATTAAATGCTTATCGACCATTGAACGCTTTACGTAATGGATTTTTAAGTGCGTAATTACCGATATAAATAAGCTGGGTGTGCCAAGAGTATTCCGCTCTGTTTGCTGGTTCATCATGCTAAATGAGTTCTTTAGTCATCTTGGCTCGGCTCGACTAATTCAATTCCTAAATGCTGAAAGTATGGCCTGACCTTTCGGCAGGAAGCAATTGCAATAAACATTTCCGGAAAAGGAGAGCTTAATTAAATCATAAATCTGCCCGATCTCGACCTAAGCAATGGAAACCTCTAAAAACTTTAATCCCCTGAGTTTAATACACTGCCCATGGAAGCTCCACGAAACTACTTATAACTACTTTTCGGCCATTAAAAGTTAGAAAACATAATTCTAATTTTAAGTTTCGGGACAGATGGTTTCCATATCGCCGCCGCTTTTTCACTTAACCCGGTTTCGAACTATTTTTGAATTTTCTTCTCTAGCAGCCGTAATATCCTGTTGTCTTTTACAGGACGCCCGCATCTATTTCCGTTTCGATTCATAGAAGAAAAAACTGAGTAATGGTTAACAGCGAAAGAACATAGAAAAGACTGAGTGCAATTCAACTTCATGACGTGTTTCTATTATCACAGTTTGTTCCATAACGCCCTAAATTTTCTCTTGAAGATTGTTTGGTTTGACCGAAAAAAACTGTAACCATTGTTTCACTTGAGTGAAGCAGTGATTTAGTTAAAAAGAAGAACCGGCGGCTTTTAGCCGCCCGTAGTAAATAGCGGCAATCCCGATTCCGCACAAAAGTAAATCCCGGTAAGCAGCAACAGATAAAAACGCCACAAATAAGAAAAGCACGTTCCCAAGCTGATGGGTTCGAGACGGGATGCGCAGCCCAAGATTTTCGAGTAAAATTTAGTGCATTAGCCTCCGAAACTAAAAATATTCGCCAGTTACTCCCATTTTATAAATAAAACAAACTAGAGGCGAGGTGAGGTGCAGCTCGAAGCAGCAACAGCTTGAACTTACGAGAGACATTATCTAAGGTGTCGGAAATTGTTGGGAGCGTAGATGTATTTACGAAATTACTCACGATCTAGCGATGCTGATCCAGCCACCAAACATGGAGTATTTTTGAAAAAACACTCAATTTTCTAACTTTGTATTCAAGTTAGGAAATGCGGTGAAACCATCCGCATTATTGGATTTTTTGATGCACCGGGTGTAACTATCAGAGTTTTCTTGTGTTCCTACCAGGGTCGAGAAGTTTACGACGATTTTTTTAAATCAACTTTATAAACTTCGTCGCGGTCAAAACTGAAATAATTCTAGCCGTGGAGGTGACAATTTGTAACGCAGCAGCGCCTGGCAGATCGTGCATCTCTCTCACAGTCCTCTAGGTGCGAGTGAGAGACCCGATGTCAGCTGCGTTCCCGAATGGAATACTTGATTTATTCGCGCATGATTTTTCCACATCATCCACTGGATTCATTCGCAAAAGGGTTCATTCACTGGCTTTTACAGTTACAGTTAAAACAGGGTTACAGACAGTTAAATTTCCTAATAGAGGCAGTTTTGGGTACATTTCCAGTTAAGGGAATTTTTTGAGAAAACCGTCGTGAATTCTTCAACTGCGCCCAATTGACTATTTCTTTCATAACTCACCAACTTTTGCAGATATTTTAGAAACGCAAAAATTATTTTGTAGCAAATTCAATTTCCTAATTCAAACTATGATTTATACATTTTGAGTTATGAAAAAATTTTCGAGAAAATCTACTGTCAAAGTTTCAACTGTGCCGAACCGTACATCGACTCACTCTTTCTTTCATAACTCGTTCAAATTGACTGAAATTTTGGAAATTTAAAGTATATTTTGTAGACAGTTAAATTTTCTAATAGAGGCGGTTTGGGTACACTTCCAGTTAAGGGAGATTTTTGAGAAAACCGTCCGTCAATTATCCACCTGCGCCCAATTCAC